CTTGGACTTAATAAATAAAATACAAAAATTTAATAGACTAAGAAAATTACCTTTCAAGTGGTGACAACGGGCAGCTGGTAATAAGTAAGTTAAATTTCCCGCACTGACAGGGATGGGCCCATGCCTCAGTATATATACAATGAAGCGCATTGAAGTGGTAAAATTGTCCGTTTGGATAAAAAGTTCTGAGTCATGCTTTGAACGTCAATTATAATATAATGACACGCCCATATTTTTATAAACGAGAAAGAAATATTCGTCGTAATGTTTTAGGACACCCCACTCTTCGCGACAAACAACATAAGTTACACTGAAATGGACCTTTAAAAAATAGAAGAAAGAATTAGAGACTCCCCGCTTTCTAAAACTCAAATTGCAACGAATATGAACATATTTTTGAAGTTATCATGTCTATTGAAGTTACCACAACACATGTTTCGGTCGAACACGCGTTTAATTGGTGTTTATTTAGACCGTCAATTTGATTGGCTACTATATTTATGGAAAACCTGTTCTACAGGTATTTGGATAAACAGATTGACCGTTTTATCAATTTCTAAAGAAATGGGCGTGTCATAAGATGACAATAAACGTTCTAAAGATAGCTCAAAACGTTCCATTCGAACGGAAAATTTTACCACTTCAATGCGCTTCATTGTAGCAGAAAAACCGGTTAAACAAGGGGGTACAAATTTACTGGCCAGTGAGATTTTGTGAGTAGAATTCATGAATGGAGACTACTACCAAATATGGCATATAGTAAATTATGGCTCAGTAAGTTATTCAATAAAGATAAAAAAAATATTTTAAATAAATATGACTCTGCCACACATACTTTGAGTCAAATCTTTCAAGATATTAAACAAAGACCTACTCATGTGATTGATTGACTTGTATATTGTTTAACGTCCCTCTCGAGAATTTTTCACTCATATGGAGATGCCACCACTTGCCGGTGGAGAGCTGCAAAGAGCCATAGCGCATTTGATTGTCACTTTTGCCTACTCTAGTACTATTTTTTTTAAATACATTGTTTAACCAACATTTTGTCAAATAATGTTAGTTTATACATGCCTTAAAGCAAATCACACAAAAATGATATTCAAATATTAATAGTTCCCTCATAAAATAGATATAAAAATCGTTCAGTTTATATGATGAGTATAGTAAATACTGAGGTATCCCCCTAAATAATGATAAACTGTAGCAAAAGACCACCCTTAACCAGAAAAACAACTTCTGAATAATTTTATTTGGATGTGACTGCACTTCATTACATTTAGATAGTTTTGGTTAAAGGTGATCTTCATATTGAAAATGTTGAAAATGTGAATTTAGTTTTTCTTCTCAAATTATTTTAAAATCCAACAATCTGTCTGAAATTTGTACATCCGATTACAATGGCTTCGTGGCGTAGTGGTATGATGGATTGTAGACATACAATGAAGCGCATTGAAGTGGTAAAATTTTCCGTTTGGATGAAACGTCCTAAGTCATGTTTTGAACGTCAATTATAACAGAATGGGACGTCCATTTCTTTAATTTAGAAACGAACAAGAAATATTCGTCGCAACGTTTTAGGACACCCCACTCTTTGCGACAAGCAACATGAGTTGTACGCCGGAGTGGAGATTTTTAAAGTAATAAGAGAGATTTAGAGAGCTCCAACACGTATTGCAACGAATTTGTACACAATTATGAATTTATCATTTTTATTGGAGTTTCCATAACACATGTATTGGTCGAACACGTGCTTATTCTGTGTTTATGTACACCGTCAATTTGATTGGCTATTATATTTATGGAATACCTGTTGTACAGGTATTCCAATGAACCATTCGACCGATTTTTACTTTCTAAAGAAATGGGCGTGTCATTGTATGACAATCAACGTTCTAAAGATAGCTCAAAACGTTCCATTCAAAAGGAAAATTTTACCACTTCAATGCGCTTCATTGTAATGATCGAGCTCGAGTCTCACAGTGTGTGTTTCTAATGATGCTGTTATTTTTTTCTGTCTGTGCATTTTCCCTATGTTTTCTTTTATCATTTTATAATACATGTTTAAATAATGTAGGAGATATATAATACCTGTACAACATTACACTTTGAACGTTTTCGGGAAAAACAGTCCTAAACTGTATCAATGACCCAAAGTCATAGCTCCTAGCTTGTTTTATTTTTAAAATTTTCTTAAAATCTTGTTTAGAATAAGAGTATTGAGCAAGTAAAATGATTGTCATGTAACAAACTTGCAACTACGAAAATATAACACTGGTCCACAAATGATTACATACATGTAGTTTGATCTAGAATTAAAAAGGTACATGTATCTATAAAATAATAGAAAAAGGTGATTTCCTTTTAACTACTTGAGTCGGTCTTTTGTCCTATGCTCGGCAAGAAGGGCCATTGAGCAGTAAGGGATCTTTTTCGTGCCAGCACCTACCGAGACATGGGATCTCGGTTTATACGGTTCTTTCGAAGAACCAGTCTCCACGTTCCACAGTGGTATTCGAACACGCGACGTAGGGATCAACTCCTTACTTGGCGATTTTAGAGCAGACGCTCTAACCACTGCGCCACGCATGTGACCCTACTCATTTGAAAAATTTGGTTTAAGTGTAACAAAACTGACCATATTTACCCTCTTTGATGTATACACACAAATAATTTCTATTTTTGTCCCCGCTTTTGTAAAAGCGAGGGGACATTAAGTCTCAGGCGTCTGTCACAAAAACTTAAACATTGGTCATATCTTTTACATGAGGAGAGATAGGGGTGTCATATTACACAATCATGTGTATAGCCTGTGATGATACCTTTCTATATATACTTTGATTTTTTTATTTTACCTTGTGACCTTGAAGTTTGACATACTTTTTAAAAATTTAAACATTATTTTGAATGAGCCATATCTTTTGAAAGAGAAGAGACAGTGCTATCATATTAAAGCTGTGTATTGCCTGTGGCAAGACCTTTCTAAATACACTATAAATTTTGACCTCGCGACCCTCACCTTGAAGTTCGACCTACTTCTTAAAAAAATTAACTTTTCTTTGAATTGGCCATAGGCATAACTTTTTCAAGAGGAAAGATAGGACTTTCATATTATACATATTATGACAAAACCTTTTTAAATACTCTTTGGTTATTTACGTTGACCTTTAAGTTTGACCTACTTTTCAAATACTTTCATTTTGGTAATGACTTTTGAGTGAGAAGAAACAGGGCTTTCATATTAAATACCCGGTATGTGCATTGCCTGTGACAAGTCCTTTCTAAATACAATGATTTTTGATCTCGTGATCTTGACCTTGAAATTGATCTACTTTTCAAAAATTTTAATTTTTCCTAATAATTTTGATTGAGAAGAGATGTGACTTTCATATTTGACATTGGCATTACCTGTAACAAGATATTTCCGAGCAAGCCAAGATTTCTGGGTCCTTGACCTTGACGATTGACCTCATTTTCAAAAAATTCAACTTTGGAAATAACTTCTGAATGTCACATGATAGGGCATTCATATGTAACATAATTTGCCAAAAATAATGACATCTAGTCACCCGCAAAGACACCAAAGGTGGGGGACCACAATTCTTTGAATTTGCTTGTTGCTTGTTGCACGAAACTCTCATTTGCCGAGATTTTACATAAAGTATAGGTAAATGACATGAAATATTATAAATTACATAGAGAATAATACAAATCCTTTTCCATATCACATCCTGTATCAGCCCGAGACATCAATATCAGAAGGCCCGAGGGCTGATACAGGACGTGATGTGGAAAAGGGTTATGTATTAATATGTTTATTACACACTTAGTAACAAAATACAGCATGCATTAAGTTGAGAAGAAAATAAGTAAATAATCATGCATGGACTTCTTACATACATGTACATGGTCTAATGTCTCATACGATTTGGGTTTGTTTCTACTTCTATTTCAATACACTTGATCCGTAATTTGAAAATAATCTATTACATGTATTTCTAAATTAAGATTAACCTTATTTTCAAAAAGTAAAAATTAAGAGAATATGAACCCACCAAAAATTGTGTATGATCACAAGTACTGTTTTTGAGATTTAATTTACTAAGGGTGTGATATTGACGTCACAATAGCCGTATCAGCCCTGCAGGGCTGATACTATCATTCCAATAACAGCGTGTCACTTTGCTTGATCGACCGTGTTAAAAATTTCACAAATTGATTACCATATCATTCATCGATTGGATGTTTGATTTGAATGAATAATTACACTTAGTAATAAATACATGTTTTTTGCATATGCGATATGGCTGACGTCACAATAGCCGTATCAGCCCTGCAGGGCTGATATGGATTTGCGGGGCTGATAACCTATATCAGCCCTGCAAATCCATATCAGCCATGCAGGGCTGATACAGCTATTGTGACGTCAGTATCACAACCTTAGTAAATTAAACCCCAAAAACAGTACTTGTGATCATACACAATTTTTGGTGGGTTCATATTCTCTTAATTTTAACTTTTTGAAAATAAGGTTAATCTTAATTTACAAATACATGTAATAGATTATTTTCAAATTATGGATCAAGTGTATTGAAATAGAAGTAGAAACAAACCCAAATCGTATGAGACATTAGACCATGTACATGTATGTAAGAAGTCCATGCATGATTATTTATTTATTTTCTTTTCAACTTAATGTGTTCTGTATTTGATTACTAAGTATGTAATAAATATAATGAAACATACCCTTTTCCACATCACATCCTGTATCAGCCCTCGACCAATATCAGCCCTCGGGCCTTTGGCCCTCTGGCTGATATTGGTGTCTCGTGATCATAATCATGATTTTTTTACTTTGTTGTTGTACAATAGGCATTCTGCTTGCCTTGTTTGCAAATCTTTTTTTTCATATCAGTAAACAGAATGTACAAATTAACCTTACATTTAATAATATTTTTTTTATTTCAAACTACATCTTTCCTAAAACTCTATATAGTAAAAAGAAATAAAAATTTTATTTGATAATAATCACAATTGATATGTAAAATTAAAATCTACATTTGTTAAATACTACTGATTAACATTTTTAAAATTCCAACTGGTAAACATCTTCTATAAAACAAAATAAATCAACATGCAATTTAGAATTTCTATGCATCAGAGCTACCAGAACCTAGTGAACTCCAGTGGGCCATTGTGTAATATTGCCCTTTGTATTTTACATATTCCCGACCATTGATTGTTTTCATCGTTGGTGTGTTATAGTAGGGATCACCAACAGGAGAACTATAGTTTGCTCTAAAGTTTCCCGTTGAAGTTCTACTTGAACTTGTGTGTGTTCTTGGCACTGCTGATGAAGAAGAAGTTGGATAGAGTAAGACTTTGCTGGTAGCTGTTGTACTTGTAGGCTGCTGTTTTGGGGTAACATTTGTTGTATGATTTCCTGTGTTTTCACCATACAGGTACTTGTAGTTGTCTGAACCCATGTAACTGGATGAGACTGTTGCTGGAGTTGTTTCCCTTGAATGGCTTTTAGTGGTACTCCTGTGAGTTCTATCTGGTTGCTTAAAAAAGTCATCAACATTTGTTTCCAAAGGCGCCTTCTCATCTGAATGATGATATCTGCTACTGTACTGAGATGCCCTGTCATTATCTTCTGTCTTGGTACGTCTTTGGCGGACAGATTTATCTTTCGGATGAGGCTGTGCTACTCCTTTCTGCAGTAGAGCACCATTTTCATGCAGTAGAAGAGGAAGCCATACCACATACTGGACAGTAAACCCGGTTTTTGTGTATTCTTTGTACATACTGTTGTCCAGTGGGGAACCTTCAGCTGGGGGCTTCCCCAAGACCACAGGAGGATTATGCATATGCATTAACCAGCATATCTCCAAACATTTGACTGTGTACTGTGGAAGTCTTTTATACACAGCTTTGAAACCTGTACTATATTCAAATTCCTACAAAAATAAAAATTATGTATAAACCTGTACTATATTCAAATTCCTACAAAAATAAAAATTATGTATTTTTTTTAGTTTATTTTAATTTATTAAATTTATTGCCAAATATCATGGTTTGTACACATATTTACAAGTATTTTGAGTACCTTAAACAAAGTCTCTGCAGACATCTTTTGGGATTTTCTTATTTCTTCCAACATTTTTTCTGTCTGGGGATCAATGCTGTACTCCACAACTGAGGCATCTCGCGGTAAACTGCTCTAAATACAAAAAGACAAGGGACTGTAGCCAGAGTACATCTGTACTATAATGTGCAGTTATTCTTTTGACTGTTACTTTATTATTCTCTTTTGAGAAGTGGACAGGCATTCGCCTCTTCTGCTACTGGATGAAGACAAGATGGAGGTAAAAGAACTTACCACATTAGTCAAAGCTTTTTTCAGGTTCTCCATCTGATGCACTGCTGCATCTTTACAGAAAGAATAGGCAGCCTAGGATTTAAAGAATATAGGATTCAATCATTAATATACATGTATTGTACAAATGTATACTATTACTTTACTGTATCATATACTAGCTAGTATCTTAAATTCAACAAGTACCCGTAATTACATTTTCAGAAAATATTCACAATTTAAATGAGGACAAATTTTCTGATGTGTGAGGATAAATTTCATTTTTTTGATTAAAATTTCGTCTTAATCTGATTTTGCATTGTTTATTAACCTGTATTAAATCCAGTAGTTCTTTTATAGCACTCTCTTCTTGGTACACTTCATTTGTGAGGAACTCCAGGGCATCTGTCCATTCATTGTCATAAAGCTCGTTGTACTTCTCAGCAATCTTTGTTGGACGGTTAGAATCACTTAGATCTGTGATGTTGGGGTTTTTGTCATTCAACTTGTTGCCCATTTCCTTACTTAATCTGAAAAAAAAACATGGTAGCTGCAATAATGTAGCCCTCTTCCCCCCCCCCCCCTTTTTTTTTGGGGGGGGGGTTCCAGAAAATGTCAGATAAAAAAAATCGGAGAGGGCTACATAAATGCAGGTACTTCATAGGATATAAACATAATAATGCAATAATATTTGTAAAGCACTTATTTTTTATAAGAATTTGGGTTCTTAGTTTACTATTGAATTGGTTTTATAAAATCATGCTTTTCATGCTTTAAGTTATAATTCACCTTGTCAGAGCATCTGTTTTTTCTCTCTCTAATTTATCTACTAAATCTCTGGATTGGTTTAATGCCATTTTATATTCTTCTA